AAGACCCAGACAGGAAACTCTGCGGTTTGAGATTGTTGTTTTTGCCGCCCACGTCTGTTCGTCTTTCTAATGAGCTGTTTCATTTTCCTCTCTGAATGGTTGGTGGGTGCTCTAGTGTGGTTTGCTCCTTCTTTCCTATCAAACGTCTATCGTAGGTGGCTGGTGGGTGCTCTAGTGTGGTTTGCTCCTTCTTTCCTATCAAACGTCTATCGTAGGTGGCTGGTGGGTGCTCTAGTGTGGTTTGCTCCTTCTTTCCTATCAAACATATATCGTGGGTGGTTGGCGGGTGCTCTGGTGTGGTTTGCTCCTTCTTTCCTATCAAACGTCTATCGTCCTCATTTCTCCACCTTCTTTATTTTGTGTTTGTTACTCTCTTGTAACGCCTCTAATCTTCGGCACTTATATGACAACATAAGTGTGTTGCAAGTGCCGTAAAACTCGTACTAAAACATAAAATATTCTCCTCTCCTCAGATGTATCTGTCGAGATTTATTGTGGTGGTGATGGGGGTGGGACACGAGAGGGCCGTGGGTAGTTCAGTGTGGATGGGGCATAGGATGAAGTTGGTTGGTCTTTCGTCGTGGTGGATAGGGTGTGTACTAAACATGTTTATTAGCAAGGATGGATTCAGATATGATACAGACTTGACAACTGAACAGGGACACAGACGGGTCACTCACTCAATTCACGAGGAAGGAAAACGGAAGCAACACCTCTGGACAATCGTAAAGGGAATGCACCCACATAATTACATGATAAACAATCAACAGGACCTTTGATTGTTTACCTTTACATCGTTCATAAAGATTCATTACAGGGTGGGTGAAAAGACTTGTGGGTGGTTCAATGTGGAGGGTAGGATGAGTGAAGAGGCTATTCACTATTCCAGAAAGACAACATTCTTTCTGCTCAGTTCCTAGTTTTGAGAAATTTGAAGTTTAGAATTTAAAATTTCACAACATGTCAAGCTTTTTTCAAATGCTTTCTTTGAATATCTTGATAACGACTCCGAAAAAATCTCACAATTTTGATACAGCAGATATAACTTTTGTTTTCTGACCTCATGGTCTTAGTCACTCAAAAACGGCCAAAAATGTTTGATAGAAATGTGTAATTCTATGGAAGTAAAGTGGGTCGTTCAATGTGGTGGGTGGTAGGGAGAACTTGGTGGGTCTTTTGTGGTGGTGTGTTGGGTGACAAGAGAAGTTAGTGTGTCGTTCAGTGTGGTGGTGTGTTGGGTGACTAGAGAAGTTAGTGTGTCGTTCAGTGTGGTGGTGTGTTGGGTGACTAGAGAAGTTAGTGTGTCGTTCAGTGTGGTGGTGGGTAGGGTAG